ACAGGACCTTTTTATTTTTTGTTTGTATTGTTACATGTAATCACTATGATGCTGAAAGCACAATGTGGTGATAGTGTCTCAAGAGCTAAAATTTATTTTAAAATATAAAAGGGAACAACCCTCTTGAACTCTTAACTGGCTCCATCTGGATAGTGGATTCCCTCCTTCCAACCACGCTCTCTCTCAAAACACCTAGAAGCTGTACATGACTTTGTTCAGAGGAAAATTCATTTATACATAGAAATTACTTTGTCTTGCACTTACTTCATTGTAAGATATAAAATGCAAACCATGGAATGGAGGTATCTCCTGACCACTCTACTGATCATATTCTTCATAAAAATTAGCCAGATTGTGAGTATATTGTATGCCTGAACATACATAAACCTTTGAACAGTCTTCAGTTCTTGTGCACTGTTAGCTGAGTACTTTAACCTGCATGACTTTTACTGCCATTGTCCCAATACAGTGTTACCCAAAAACTCATGAATATGTCTTTCCTTCAAGGTATATTTCAGCTTGAAAACAACTGTGTAAGAAATGTGCTACTTGGAGGACAAATAAATCCACAAGAAAACAATAGTTTTCTAAACCACATATTTGATGTGGGGGGATTCCTTGTAGTAGTCCAATGTATGGTTACTGCTGAAGAGTCAGGTAGTAGTGAAGCACCTCCACTGGAACAGTAAAAGAAAATAGGAATTTCCTCTTTAGCAGATTTAAAGTCAATATGGTGTCCTTTGAGAATTTGGTACTAAATGTCGAATAATGTGAATGATGAGCCTAATTTTAATATTTTGCTGTGAAAAGAGATTTAGCACCTGCATAACTTTTATCTAAACTATTAGTTTTTCATTTTGTATCTTTAAGTGAAAACACGGAGTGCACATGAAAGTTGTGGACATCTGCTTTTGCTTGAATGCTTTTTTTACTTTTCAAGAAAATTAGCAAAATATAAGTAGTGTTCCAAGAAAGAGCCACTCAGGAGTCCCACAAGGGCTGGGACTGTGCTTTTCAGTGTCTCCACTCTTGGAGTGACAGTATTACTTTCTAAGCCGAGGCTTCATTTGCATTTTGAAAGTACAACAATTTACTTCTCAGCAGGGCTGTGCTGTTTCCAAAAGGCTGGACTGGCTCGAGGATTAAAATCCAGTGAGGTTCCAGTAATTCCCTTAACAATGAGTTTTAAAATCTACACCTTTAAAATAGCTCTGCACCTTTAAACTTCAAGCTCCGCTCCGTGTTAAAGCAGCTGGCTAACCATCAGTAGAAATGGGAAAGGTCCAAAAGACAGGAGTGACAAGTGACTTGTGTTTCATTCGTTGCTTTAATGGATTTTTCCTCAGCTTCACAGCTAACCAGTGCAGGTTATTTATAGATTTTAAAGCCAGAAATTAACACTGTTCCTTGTAGGCAGAAGAAAAAAAATGCATGGGATCATTATTAATTCTTTAGCATTATATTGCCTTCTGGCTCAACGTGTGTGCAAGGGACCAAGAGTAAACATGCATTTATCATCCCGACCCTTATCTGTTCCCAAAAACGTCCTTCAGCGGAGAACTGTGAAACAGCCTGCCTAAAGGATTTGAGACCTTTTATTTTTTTGCTGCTGATACAAAAATCTTTACAGCCTTTGATGTAATTGAATATTCAAATGTAAAATATTGCAAACACCAGTTTAGAGTGTTCCTTTTCCCCAAAACCCCCAACCAACCAACCAAAAAACCCACTATGGTGCTAGTTGCCTTCAAATAAAGCCTTTTGGTTTTCTTACATTGGGACAAATTGCCCAGGCATCCTTGGTATCCAAAGAGATCTCTCCCCTTCCAACTCAAACCAATTTTTGAGTACTGACCTTCTCTTTGTTTCCTTTTGTTTCCAGTTTTACCATTGCTCTGAGTGCCTTTCCCTGGACAGCAGCCTTACACATCCCTAATAGAATTCAGCTGTGGAGGGAATACAATCCTGGCAGGAGGCTGTCTACCCAATCTCTCACTGGCCACTGAACTTAGTAGTTCAAAATTGTCCTTCACATAATTTTAACAGTGTCCATGGAGTAATTCCAGCAATCAGCCTGTCCTGTCATCTCTCTGCAGCTCCCTGTACCCCACTGTAACATGAGGTAGAGGAGACAGCAGTGCTACAGCAGCTGGTATTGTTTGATCAGCAACACAATCCTTGCTGGAATTTCATTTCCCTTGCAGACTCGCTACTAGAATACATTTGTCATCCATACTTTGTAGCAGACTTATATTTGCCTGTAATTACACACCAGTCTGGCAATACTTTATTGTTAACATAAAGTACTGCCATTTAAATCCCCAATCTTAAACTGAAGTATTTGCAAAACTCTGTAATTGCTAAAATAATAAAGCTGCCATTACTGTATGGGAAGTTTACAGCTTGTTGGTGAAATACTTACATTGGCTTAACTACACCTGTATGGATTCCTTATGTTTTCATGTGCTGTGTAAGTGTCTTGGTTTAGGGAAAATTTGGGAGAAAATTTCTGAATGGGATTTTTCTAGAAAATAAATTTAAGTGGCTCTTTTTTTTTAACTGGTTCAGGAACAAATTTTTTTGGAGAAGAGTGGAAAATACTGTTTATTTAACAGACATTGAATAATGTTAAACAATAAAACTTCTTATTGTTTGAAGAGATGGCAAATCTAGAAAAGTCTTTTTTATGGGACGTAGCTCAGCTTGCTCAGTCTCTCATCAGTCCCTCCAGCTCTGGAAAGGGCTGAGGGCCAGGCCCTGGTGGGCCACAGGCGTGAGCTCCCGGGTTTTTTTTGGGTTTTCAGTCCAGAGAACATTTGAACAAATTTAAGAAAAAAGGAAAAAAAAAAAAACCAACAAACCAGTTCAGGGAACTTCTCAGCCTCAGCTAGCTAAAAACTAACTAAAAGCAAAGGAGAGCTCTGTCCCGCTGTCTGTCCGTGCTGCAGACACCACAGTCCGGAGCAGCCTGCGGGGCAGTGAGCGCCATTCCTGAAAACAAAACTGTGCGCTTCCTCTTTCCCCCTTTCGCTGTCAGAACCAGTGTTAAAGGTGCAGAACTTCATATCCAGCATAAACAGAACAGATGACTGGGGATACAAGCATCGTAACATCACTCCAAGACATTACAACAGAGATTTCTGCTGGGCACAACTAAAAAATTTCTGTCACTGTCACAGAATGGTCGATATTGGAAGAAGCCTCAGGAGCTCACCTAATCCAGCCCCTACTCAAGGGGTTGCCCAAGACCACATCCAGGTGCTTTTGAGTTACTTCCAATGATGGAAACTCCACAAGCTCGCTGGGAACCTGTGCCAGTGCTCAGTCAAAACTGAACTCCATGTTTTCCAGCTTGTGGTCTGTCCCCATGTAGGAGGAAGTCTATAAAAGATAACCAGGAAAAACGAGTTCAGTGTGGTTTTCCTCAGTGCAACGGGCACAGATAGTACTGGAAATGCCTAGGAATATGAAAACCCGCAAAGACGATATATTTTGGTTTTGCTTTGTGTTGGTGTTTTGCAAACAAAAAACTGGTGATGCCCCTCTCGCACTCATTCTGTGATTCCATTTTTTTTTTTTTTTTTTTCTATTTTTACATTAAATAGTTCTCCCCATGTGATTGTTCCCAAGTCTGGTTGGGTAAGACAGACCTCAGAAACAGATTAGAAACAGCAGTACGAGTTTGCTCCAAACCATTAGCAATGTTGCCACATTACCCTTTTCGTACATGAAGCTCAAGACTTCCATACTCACTATCTAAGGGTCTCCAAAAGTTGGGGAACCTGTGCCGTCTCTAACCCTAGTCCTGACACACTTGCACAACATTTCTCAGCTCTCGGTGCTCTTTTGGGGCAGGATGGGGAAGCTTTGTGCTCTTCCAGCAACCCCTCAGGGCATGGAATAATGGAGTGCAGGTGGTTCTGCATTACCAAAAGGACCTTCATGTAAAAGCTGATGCTCGAATGCTGTTGCCAAGTGGCAGATGAGCAGAGGTGTTATCTGGCCAGGAAGGATCCACTCTCCTCCTGCCCCTTTTCCCTGCACTCGCTGGCTCTGCCCCGGCCCTCGGAATAAATCCCATTGTGTGTCACCCCTCTGATCCCCTCCAAAGGTGATCACCACGTTCATCAGTGACGGAGCACCTCTCCAAGGAGGAAAGACTGAGAGAATCGGGATTGTTCAGCCCAGAGAAGGCTTCAGGGTGACCTCATTGTGGCCCTGCAGCACCTGAAAGGAACTTATGATGAAAGATGAGGAGAAACTTATTACAAGAGCACGTAGTGACAGGACAAGGGGCAACCGCTTCAAATTGAAAGAGTGCAGGTTTAAATGGGCTATCAGGAAAAAATTCTTTAGGGTGGCCAGGGTGGTGAGGCCCTGGTACAGGTTGTCCAGGGAAGTCATGGATGCCCCATTCCTGGCAGTGTTCAAGGCCAGGATGGATGGGGCTCGGAGCAGCCTGGTCCAGTGGAAGCTGTCCCTGCCCGTGGCAGCAGGGTTAGAACGAGATGATCTCTATGGTCTCTTCCAACACAAGCCACTCCGCGATCCTCTGGCACAAAGCCTATTTCTGCGGTACACGTGTACGGAGTTTCCAACCTGGGGGCACAAGAGCTCCCCGAGGCCTTTACCGGGGCCGAGCTGGAGCACGAGCGCCCGCCGGGCTCCGGCCACGGCCGAGGGTGGGGATGTGGGAGCCGGGATGCGTGTCCCCGGCGCAGGTGGCGGGGCAGGGCGGGCAGCGTGGCCCGCAGGGTAGCGGCACGCAGGGCGGCGAGGTCGTGGGCCAGCCCGGGGCCGTGCGGGGCGGCGGGCGGGGCGCTGCTGCTGCCGCCGGTGGGCACCGAGCGGGGCCGCGGCCGCTCCCGCTCCCCCCGCCCGGGCCCGCCCCGCTCGCGTCGCTCCGCGCTGGATTGCTCGCGCCTGGCCGGCGCCGTCTGGGGCCCGGCGGGCGGCGCGGCCAGGCCCGCTCAGCCGAGCGCAGAGGCGGCCGCAGGAACAATACGGCGGCGGGCGCGGAGCCGCGCGGCCGCCCCGCACCATGTACGCGTTCGTGCGGTTCCTGGAGGACAACGTGTGCTACGCGCTGCCCGTGTCCCGCGTGCGGGACTTCAGCCCCACCTCCCAGCAGGACTTCGACAACCAGAAGGTCTACACCGTGTACCGCAACCCCGAGGAGGCGGCGGACGAGGACGACGAGAGCCCCGGCGAGTGGGGCGACCGCCTGCTGCTGCACAAGGCCCAGATCCTGGCGCTGGCAGGTGAGGGCGGGCCGGGCCGCGGGGGCGATGCCGCCCCCTCCCCGCTGAGGGAGGGCGGCAGGGGAGGGGAGGGGGCGGCCCGGGGCGGGCGGGGGGCGCGGGGCCGGGGGTGGGGAGGGGCAGCTCCGAGCGGTCCCGGGCCCGGGGAAGGGGCCCAAGGGTCGGTTTGCAACATACCCGCGACCCCCGTGATCCCCTCCGCGGTACCCGGGGAGGGGGGAACGGTGGAAACTTACAAAAAAAAAAAAAAAAAAAGAAAGTTTAGGTTTTCGTCCACGGCTTATTTATAGTGCATGGGGTCATTTGTGTACCTTTGCAGTTGTTGCCAGATTTGAGGGGTGCTGTTTTATGTCCGCTTTGTTAGTTTAAGTGACTTCAGAAATTGGAAGGCAATAGTGGAACCAGACCTCCAGGTACTGCCCTTGTTAAGCGTGGGCTTGCTACATTTGGTTTGTTACATGTTTAAATATAACAAATGTCTCCGAGCTAAGAGGACCAATTAAAGGGCATACTAGGAAATAACCCCGTTTTTTGGCCATTTGAAGATGTTGAGCCCGGGTGAGATAGTACTGATGGGACATTGCCCCCAGACAGTCACTCTTTGGCAGTGTCTCCTTGAAGACTTTGTGTAGTTTCCTCGCTACCATAGTCATAGTTGACATGGGAAGGAAGTTTGGTGGTTGTAGCAAATTGCTGGTTAGTGTGGACTTGCCCAATAGGCTTTTATGACCATTTGAAATGTCAGTCTGGGTGGCAGAGAGGACACTGGGTTCTTATCCTGACTTTTCCACTTTGGGCAAAGTACTGGTTATGTCTGTTTCCCTGAATATGGAATGGGCTTAAAAAACTCTTTTGTTTAGTATTGAGCTCTTAGAAGGCAGTGCTGAGTCTGGTGTCTAAACAGAGTAACTTGGTGTTAAAGTCACCTAAAACTGGTAATTTTCTAATTTTATGTTTGAACATTAACAGTTCCTAAGCCAGTTAACCTGGTGGTGGCCCAGTCTGTCCCTGGCTTGGCCCGTGACTTTAGCCATCATCCTGTTTCTAATATTGGACATGAGCAGATACCTAAAAAGAGCCAGGAATAGCCAAACTTTAATTTGGCCCTGCAGAGCTTTTCCAGTTTCTGAGCATTTGCAACTTCAGAAGTTTAGGGGAACTAGTTAGGTCATCTAGCAGAGGAGTGGATTCTCCTAAGTTTTTGTTGTCCTGTGCCAGCCCATGTTTTGTCTGTCCTGTCTGTGGCAGAGGAGTGTATGTGAAGTGTTTCTTGCAGGTTCCCTGTCAGATCCATGGAAGACAACAATCTCAGTGCCTGGGGTTTGCACGGCCTCTTCCCAATGGCAGCATCTCACTGGACTTCACCTTCCTCTGTCCCAGTGGGGAACTGCAGCAGCAGTGCCCTTTCAGTTCCTCTCTCTGTCTCAAAATAGCTAAAGTGCTCCAGAGAAATACTTAGAAATAGACCTTTTGCTCACACATTTTTGCCCACCTGGTTGCCTCAGTTTTCCAGCAGCAAGTGCTTATTTTTGCCAGTTCCCTTGTTCCAGGCAGAGCCTGTGTCTGCCCAAGAGGTGCTTTCCTGAATTTTTCTGTACAATTTCTCTTTGTTTCATGTCTCTTGAACCAGAACAAACCAATATATGCTGTTTCCTCCAGAGAAGAGGACTTGTTACCTGTGTTAGTGATTTGCACTAATTGCTCTCCAGAGATTCTAATTTCTACAGGAAATTCTCCTGTAGAGCCAGGAACACAAGGAAACACGCAGCTGTCTTTATTACAGCTGTCACATCTCAATATACTTTGACTAGATCTGTGTTTTGCATTCTTGGAAAAAGTCTCACCTGAACACCAAATGAGTCTTTACTTCTGTGCTTCTTTCCACCCTCTGCCATGTAAGAATACCTTGGGTGAATTCAACAGAAGTTGTATACAAAGCATCACTTACTTCTAAAGTTAGTATTAATTTAATTTCTAAAGTTAATTAATATTAATATTCTCCCCAAAATATTAATATTGGTGTTTTATTGTGGTTAAAAATCTTGGAGAGAAAACTTGGTCTTCCATGAAGACATCATAGCACAATTCTTGCTTTATAGTGACCAACGCAGATTATGACAAGTTTGTATGGCAAACATTGCAAGTGTAATGTTATGCAAACTGCTTATTTAGTTAAAAATAATTTTGCAAGTCTGCAATAATGTTTCTCATGCCAGTACAGAACTTTTAATTCTAATGGTTTCCAGCCTATCTTAGTAATAAGGTAAATAATGTGTATAAACCTGCTTTTATATTTAAAATATACATAGTTGATTTTGAATTTTTTTGGAAGGAGCCCCTAACTGCACAAACCATGCATCATTGACTTCAAAAGTTTACTGCTTTGGTCCAAGAAATCCCCAATAGGAAGAGTTTTCAGGATCAAAGTTATGCTACAGATATTAAATTAAACAAACAACAAAAAAGAATAAGAGGGGAAAATGGGTTTTTTTGAGCCTGCAAAGTGTTCTTTTACAGTTTGAGTGGTGACTAATGTTCTTGCTCATAAAGCTGCTGAAGTAAGCAAAGTTCTACCTTTTCATATATATTTTCATGATCAAACACTGTCCGTGCAGTGGAAATTAATCATAGTTTGAGAAACAGATCCATTTGTTTTTCCTTTCTAGCAATTTGAAAAAAAGGAGAGAAAGAACACAGATACAAGACACATATTATTGTTTTTTTTTTCTTTTGAAATGAGTTTTCCTTTCCTATTATATCTAAAGAAATTTAGATACCTTTCAAACTTCTACCCTTGTAATGTAGGAATTCACACAGGCCTAATGTTTATGCCCATAATGCAAAGCTTTATTGGAGCTTTGGTTGTGTAAAGAGTTCATAAAACAATTGTCCTCTTTTCAGAGAGTCTAGAAGCAATTCTTTGATTCTTTGTGCTGAGTTCAATGGTTGGAAGCCAGTGCAGTTGTGAAAGATATTGTTGCTGCAGAGCAGAGAGCACTGCAGTAAGGGCATCATAAGTTTAAAAAGGAAAAATAAAGAAGGAAGTAAATAAAGAATGGACATGCTCAGAGCATCAGGTAATTGTGAGAGGCTTGGTGTGTTGCTGTTGTCTTTTATTCTGTGGCAAACAGTACGTGACAATGTTAGAGAAGAGCTGTAGATGAACTCGGAGCAGCTGTGGCTTCCTTGTGTCCCTGTGTGCATGGCTGGGTACTGCTGAGACTGCTGGGATGTGTTGGCCTTAGAACCTTCCACTTTTTCAAAAGTTAGCCAAAGACTAGTGCTCAAACCAGAAAGGTTGTCCTGACTCAGTTCTAGACTTTACAGCCACAGAAGGTGTATTAAAGTGAATGTCCCTTGCCTTAACAAGCTCACTGTTTGGCTACCAGCAGCTGATGCTGTGTACTAATAAAGGAATAATTTTACTTGCCTCTTGAATGGAAAATAGAACTCAGCAGACTGGAGTTTGACTACAGAGCAGTTTCTTGAGGTGACGTTAGCTGGTCTGTCTTGTTGAGAATACAAAAATAGCAGAGAGCTTTTCAGGAAGAGTTTGAGTCTGTCTTCCTGATCATCCACACCCTTCCTTTTTCTTCTTTTCTGTCCTCTCCTCAAAATGCTCCAAAGCTGCTTTTTCTGGTTCCTCTCCTTGACACACATATGCCACTTGCAGCTTTTCCACACTTGTCTAATAGTCACTAGCAGAATGTTATCTATGAGCATATGCACCTTAGAGGAGCATGATCTTTAGATGACTCCATGGGAGCTTTTTATTTCCTTTCTAAGTGATGAATATTAGGTGGAATGAATTGAGTTTCTAAAAGGGGGCTTCTAAAAGTTCTCTACTTCAGGCTATGTTTGTTAACAAGTTAATAATGACTGTTTTCTACTAGGAGGTGTTCATTCCTGACTACAGTAAATAATTGTGTTCTCTAGGTGCTGCCCTCAACATTTGCCACCCACACTCTCATAGCAAACATCTCCATCAGATTCTCACAGCAATTCCTTAGCTGCCACAGCAAATGTGTTAATACCTGGTGCATCCCTATCCTTTCTTGCCTCTTTATAAAATGCCATGCTCCAGTTTTTTATGGATTTTTAAATGTAATTTTTAATGTGATTTTGTGTGATTTTTGGTTTTTAGTTTTAAGAGCCTGTGCAGCTCATGGTGAGATGTTACTGTGTATTTCAGAAGGATGTAAAATCTCTGTTCATAGAAAAAATCTAAATTAAAATGATTCTAGGACTGAGTTTTGAGTAGGGTTGAGAGTGTTTCAACTTCTTGGTGTATATCAAAGCTTCTTTGCTATGGAAAGTTCATGGATGAAAGACCCTTTGTCAAATTCCGGAATATGTGTAAAATTTCCAATATGAGATTTTAGATTTTATGAAGAATATACAAAATTTAGGTCACAAAGTCATCTTGATGTGTAATATTTAAGTCCAAGATTTTATTGGTATTTCTGTAGTCTTGGGCTTCTCCATAGATTTTCCTCTTTGCATCATTCTGACAGCTTGGGGAGCTGGAGTACATAAAGCAGGTCCTGGCTGTGGCCACAGTCCCCATGCTCCATCCCATGTTCCTGCGTGCTCCATATGTCCCATTTCCTTTCCCAGAGCAGTCAGTAGGGTGAATGAACCATTGTGGTAGGAAAAGCTGACTCTTTGTTCCCAGGAATCTCTGGGCCTGTCCCCTGCTGGGATACATTGCTTGGATGACGTGTGACAGAGACCTGGGGAGAAATGGCACCAGGAAAAACGACAAAGCACCTGCAGATGCTCCTCGGGTGATCCCAAGGGTTGTCCTGAGTAAAAAAGTGCCAGGAAGAGATTGTAGGAGACCTCCCAGTGCTGGCAGTGGTTCCTCACAGTCTCTTTAATTATTTTTTTTTCCTGGGCTGGTTTGGGAGTACTTGGGATGAGCTTTTGTGTTGCTGCCCTGGAGCAGCAAGTCCAGCTGTCCCTAATGGTGGTGTCACCTCCTGTGCAGTCTTACTGTG